AATTGCAATTCCAATAAGGCTACATAGCATTACTCTTCTTAACAACTACTTATTTGATTAAGAAAATTCAGCACAACTAATTACATTAAGGGAAAATTGCAGTCGAGGTACCAAATCTTTCGTTTATTAATAGACTTTGCTTAAACCTTTAGTTTGTGTCAGCTACAGTTCCAAACCTTTCAAAAATATGCACCGGAGGTCCAAATGGATGAAATCCATCCAGTTGACCGTTAGTTGACCAAGAATAGTAAATGTTGACCTATTTTGACTAAATTGGAAAGGGTAAAATGGTAATTTGATAATTACCATATTAAATAAATTCAAAAAAATCAAAAAATAAAGAAAAAATCAAAAAATTAAGAAAATAAATTAAAATAGGGTCATCTTCTTCACCACAACCCACCCCACCCCACCGCACCGCACTCTACCGCCCAGCCCAAAACCACCGCCGTTAACGACTCAACTGCTTGAAGCTGCATCCCAAGCTCCAACAAAAAATGAGCGACAGTGTTTCTATGGGCCAAAAACCACGTTTCTATCGACTGAAAACCAGTGTTTTTTGGCCACCATTGAAACCGATTTCACATGTATTCTAATCTAATGCTTTGCGTTTAACACAAAATGAATGGGAAAAACTTTACTGGTCCAATTTGTAAGTGCTTATATAGATTTTTTCCTGTATCACCGAATGAATGGGGAAAACTTTACTGGTCAGGTCTATTACATTTTATTTCTGATTTAAATCGTTTCTTGATGATTTAGGGCCATGGAACTGCTCGTCCAGGGGAGCATTAACAGCCTGTAACGAAGTTAGGCTATGGGTGTTGAAGGATTGGCCAGAATTGGAGGAACAGCCGTGCGCAGTAACGATTTTTTGTGCGTGAAATATGCCTGATTTTCAATCAATTATTGCTATTTTTTGATATGGGATGTAGAGTGGGATTAGGAGGTGTTGGTGATGTCAAGATCCGATGATTTTTCCGACATTGAGTGGGTGGTGGCGGTGTCAATGGCTACCGGCTACCACGGTGTGGTTGGCCGAAGAAGGAGGACGAAGAAATGTGGGGTGGCGTGGGGGCAGTATTAGTTTTGAATTTTTTTCTTAATTTTTTTATTTTTTGATTTTTTTTCAATTTATTTAATATGATAATTATCAAGTTACCATTTTACCCTTTTCAATTTAATCAAAATAGGTCAACATTTACTATTCTTGATCAACTAACGGTCAAACATACAGTTTCCATCCATTTGAACTCCCGGTGCATATTTTTGAAAGGTTTGGTACTGTTGTTGGCACAAACTAAAGGTTTGAACAAAGTCTACTAATAAACGAAAGATTTGGTACCTCGATTGCAATTTTCCCTTACATTAAGGCAATTAGTTATTTGGAAAGAAAATCAGAAAATTATACACTCAATGGGCTTTCTAGTAAAAAATAACACCGTTGATTCACGAATTTTAATGCTATTGCACGTTGATCACCAACTTTTTACATTTGATAATGTCACCATCTAATCTATAATTTTGTAACATTGTTGGTTTCTACAAGATATTTTGTATCCACTCTAGGGGTGGACAAAATGTGTAGATCAGATCAAAAGAAACCTGGACCAAACCAAATCAAGTGGTTCATTTCGATTTTATAAAAAAAATTTAGTGATTTTGATCATTTGGACCAAGAATCATTTGGTTTTAATTTTAGTTCAGTTCTAGTTCAAAAATCAAAACCAAACCCAAAATCAAACTTAATATTTAATTTTATATATAATAATTAATGAAGACCCTAATTTTATATTTATTGAAAATAGCTCATTAATTGAATATAATTTATTAATTGATTTTGGGTCATTAGAAATAAAAACTCATTAGTTGTCCACATCCTAATTTTACATTCAGTTGAATTATTTCTCCTTCTTTCCTTTTCAATTTACACAACGTCGTACATACTAATACCGCATTTCATTAAGTCAATAGAGTATCATTTAAGATCAGAAAATAAAATTGATCAATTACTTAAAAAACCTCTAAACTCTTTTTCTTATCTTTATTATTTGATAAGTTATTTGTGTTCTTCACAAATAGAAGAAAATTCAATAAAATATTCTTGAAATATTAAATGGTTAATGTAGGATCATAAAAAATTTGATAATTCATATTTTATTGTGCCTTCAAAACAATTGCAATTAATTTAATGAATTATTGCTATTACTTATTAAACAATTTTTTGTATGAAAATAAAAATTGATTTGTGTATTCAAATTATATATATATTTTGCTTGTTAATAACGACTTTTTTGATCTTTCTAAATGTTTGATGAATATTTTCTTATTTAGGTATACATTAGTAATTTATATGATACAAATCTAAAAATTTAAGAAATAAAATTAGAACCAAACCAAACCAAAATCAGACAATTCGACTATCTTTAAAAAAAATAATTTGATTCCATTATTAAAAAAACTATTGATTCGTGGTTCGGTTCAATTCTCTTAGCACCAAAACCATATACACCCCTAATCTACTTCAATTTATTTTTCTAAATTGCCACATAAATAAAATCTGGAATTCATTCAGATTTACTAAAATATTGTCACTTTAAACGCAAGGAGAATTATTATAATTTTTTTCAATGTCTTCCTTCTTGATGCTCAGGTAGATATGTAAAAGACATACCTGAATTCAACTGAAGGAATGAACTGATATCGGGTGCTGGATTCATCCCAAAGGCATTGTATCAGTGCCCAAGAGCCAAACTTCAGACCCAAAAAATGATTTAGAAATTATCACAAAATTTTCTCGTACTATCGTTATCTTCTCCTTTTTTGCCGAAATGCTGAAAATTAATTTTTTTAAAAATGATAGCAACCAGAAGAAAATCAAAAGTAGGCATTCAGAATGAGTAGGAGATTAGATATTCCTGTCATGAATTAATCGGAATAAATTCAGTTTATCGTCATCACGCCGGCTGCATCTACGTTTAAAACAAAATCATAAAAAGGATTAAGAAATTGAAAATAACTATAGTAATTAAGAGAAATAATTTAAATGGAAAAACTTTATAGACAAATAAATATGAAGAAACCATCAGAGAAATTGGATTATAACTGCATCAATGGCGACAAGAAATCTTGTCTCAGACGACCGTCGTGAGATTTTAAATCCTAGTTCATCATTTGGATTCAAACATTTAAACAAAAATTGGAAAAAAATGGTGCGATTAAAATTTTTTTTATGCCCATCACTCAATTTGGGTTCAAACGTTCAATCATCGAAAACTGGAAAAGAAATGCGAGTGTGGGCGGGTATGTGGTTGCGTTTTGAGCTTAATTTAAAGGAAGAATCGCGATTAGGGTTTTGTCCCATGTTGTTTTACCATTTTGCCCTTTACGGCCCATACTATTAAGAGGACCCAATGAATACTATCCTGATTGGACCTTTGCGGCGGGCTTGTCAAAAGATACTTGTGTGCGAATTTGACACAAACAGCACTAGAGGATTGTGTTAGCAATTTAGCACTTTCCTTTAGCATTTTGCCTAGATGGGCAAA